GACTCAGAGCAAATATGTCAATACATTTCCCTTAAAAATAAAATTGTTATATTACTCTTATCTATTTGAACTAATTAAAATAATTTTGACCCCTTAATCTAGAAATGTATATTGTAAACATGAAATTGAGAGTTATTGAATTAAAGAAAGGACAAATTATAGCAACTGTAAGTTGCATTAAATTCATTTGGTAATGTGTGATGTTTAAATTTAGATAGATCCAAATGAGTTTTTTAAGAACAATTTCAAACTATCCATAAAGCTATTTTCAAGACATTTTTAGATTGCAGGAAAACAAAAATAAGAGAAATTTAGTTGAAGTGATTGGATTCTGACAGTTTGGGCAGAGTAGGAGTTAGATCCCATCAAAAACAGGGTAAATGCATTATAAAGGAAAGGAATCCAATGTGAAGGTACTCAGTTATTTAACAATCATTTACATAGTTTTGCATTAGTAAGACTAGAAAAATCTTAGTGACTAAAGAAATGTGCATATATTAAAGATAACAGATATTTAAAATATTTTTACTGAGTGTGTCTTTTAAGGGTATATGATATGGTCAACAGAAATCTAAATCCCTAACTCTGATGCCTTCTCATTTTGACTACTGAGTATCAATTACACAAATAAGTATCATACATAAATATAGGCTAGTTCAAATTACTTTTCAAAGGTGCACCATTCCACCCAGTCTGTATCCTACTAAACTTCAAATCCTGTTCTCCAACAGACAGCAGTATTTTAAGGCAAATCACTTAATAGTCTATACTGGTTGCTCAAAATTAGAGTTTTCTTAAAATAAATCCTATAAATAGCTTAATTTTAAGTTTGTCCCCCAAAACTTACATTATTTCATCTAGAATCTACCGCACATGCTTTATTGAGCATAAAGTACTCAAATTTTATTTTCCGAAAGCTTAAGTATCATCCTATTATGAACATTCAGAGAATGTGAAAATCAGGAAACTTGCCCATTCTTCTCTGCTCATTAGGAAACAAACATCACTCAAGGGAACAGGTGTCCTCTCCATTCTCACTGCCAGCTTACTGCCCACTGCCAGATCTGGAGTTCTATCTGGATTTGTTAACTGTGTACCAGGGGTTGACGGCCCTTTCTTATATTGCTCTCGGAAATGAATGCAAAAAGGACAAAGATGAGAAGCACCTACCACAACAGCCTCTGGGAAAATATACCAAATGTCCAAATGTCTGAATAATCATAATGGAAAAAGGGAGGCAATGATACTGCCCTCTTCTGATTCAAGGAGCAAGGCAAATTATTTCAGATGAATTCATGAAGGGAGCCATCCTCTGGCTTTAGAGTGCTATGACATAGGTAAGAAAATAAGATTAAATACATACATTATCAAAGGAATCAGAAAAGGAAAAAATATTCTGAAATTGTTTAATACTAGTGTGTGTGTGTGTGTGTGTGTGTGTGTGTGTAAAAATGTTAAAATATGCTCTGAGCGCCTATTTGGGAATAGTCTAGTGTAACTTTTTAAACTTTTATCAAACTAAAAATATTTTAACAGAATGATTTATTGAAGCTGAATCTGGTCCATAAGGATAAATAATATTTTGGTAGGAGAAGAGAATCTTATAGAGAAGAGTCACAGGATCAAATGTATGCAGATAGTTATCTGCATGAAAATTGGCGGGGGTAGGGGAGGGGGGATGATGCAGTTGTTTTAAAACCAATTTGGCCAGATTAATCAATTAATCTCTTCTCTTGGAAGAGAAATATATAACACTAAATTTTGATAGGAATTTTACTGCTAGAGAACATTCAAAATGGAAAACATTCAGAAACAAAGGACCATGTAAAACTTTAACCAGGGAGCAAAATGATAGTGATATTTAGGAAAAGTAGGCAGACAAACCATGAGAGACTCTGGACTCCAAGAAATAGACTGAGGGTTACAGAAGGAAGAGGGGTGGGGAGATGGGGTAACCAGGTGATGGGCATTAAGGAGGGCACATGTTGTGATGAGCACTGGGTGTTATACACAACTAATGAATCGTTGAATACTATATCAAAAACTAATGATGTACTATACAGTGGCTAACTGAACATAATAAAAAATAAATACACATACACACACAAAAGTTGAATAAAAAGACCAGTGAAACAGTTGATACAATAATAATATAAATAATTTACTGTGGCTGCTGGGTGGCTCAGTTGGTTGGGCATCTGCCTTTGGCTCAGGTCATGGTTTTAGGTCCTGGGATCAAGCCCAAGCCCGGCATCTGGCTCCCTGCTCAGCAGCAAACCTGTTTCTCCCTCTCCCTCTGTGGCTCCCCCCTCATGCTCACTGTCAAATAAATAAAATCTTTTAAAAAGTAAATAATTTACCTTATTTCACTGAATCTTAGATGCCAATCAATTGAAAGACGCACAACTGTGTGTTGATTATTTTAGAATCAGGAGAAAAACTCTGGCACATAATCTATGACCTACTATTGATTGTAAAACACAATCTGATTCCCAGGATATTAAAATGTGGGGGAAAAATGTGCTCTTTAATAGATGAATACAGTATTTCTACTATTTAGTGAGTGATTTTACTTCTACTTGTTGTAAATTATGCTAAACATCTTATATTTATCCACTCTGAAAAGTCTATATGAATTATTACTATCAGGTATAACTATTGTCCTATTTCTACAAATTGAGAAAACCAATGCCTACAGAAGTTATGCAACCTCCCCTCGGCTACACAGCCAGGCAGAGAGGGAATCAGGATTTATGCTCCAATCATACCCAACTCTTTTTTTAAAGGTAGGAAATAATGAGTGACTAATAATTGTTAGATGGCAAAAGAATTATGAATATTAATAAAATTTATCATGGATATGAGAACTGTATGAATGATTGAATCTAATGGATAAAGTAAAAGGAGAAATTCATGCTCTTTCCAAGTTTTCAAATACAGGGAGCCCAAATTAAAGAGGTTATACTGGTAACAATAGGCATATTCAGAAGGGTAACTGTTTTCAAGGAAAATAATATTTGTTTAGGAAAGGTTGAGTTTCCAATAGTGTCAGGGTAACAAATTTGCACTGCCCTTTAGCTCTTGCATATATGGGGCTGAGCGAAAGTGAAGAATCAGGGAGCCATATGTAAAGTGGTGCTTGAAGCTTAGAGAGGACATATCATGTGAGTATTTAAGGAGAACAGGAGACATAGAAACAAATTAGACTATAAATCACAGTTATGAGTCAAGAAAAGTGCCAGCTATGGAGAAAAAGAAACTCGCAGAAAAGAGCAGAAGGACAAAAATATTAAAGAGGCTTAAAGATCAAGAATCTAAAGAATTTGAGAGATTTAATAAAACACAAATTGAGAAAAGGTTATTGAATTTGGGGAGGCAGGTGGTGATATTAAGAGAATAATTGCAGTAGTGGGGTGGTTTCAGAAGCTAGATATGCAGGGGATTAAAAAGCAAATGAGTGGAAGCTGTGGCACAGGTGTGGATCACACATTTCAGGAATTGGCCACAAGAGGAAGAAGGAAAATAGAATGTTGACACGGAGCTCTGTGAAAAGGAGAAATCTAAAATGTCAGCAAAGGAGGCATGGATAAAACAGAATCAAACACAGAACATAATTTGAAAATAGGCTATAGAAATAAATGACAGGTTTGCTAGGGAGACAGTTCTTCCATCCATTGCATAGTATTTTATTGAGTAACTGCTGTGAATAGCACTGCGAAGACCAGGGTTCCAAGGACAACTGAAGCATAGTTTTGTAGGAGCCAAGGTAGGGTGCCCCAAGATGGGCCACTTTGGCATGACAACTATTTTGAGTTCAAAAAAGCAATTGAAACCTGGCAAATTCAGAAAAAGTTTTATAGCTCCCCCCTTCAACTGCCTAAAAAGAATTTAGAGAACCTGCTCCAGGAAGCGAGCTATCACCATAGATAACTACAGTATGATATGAACTAAATGTGGTGGACAGGGGGGAACACAGCAAGACCTGTTTGGTCAAAGTACCCTATGTCTCACTGTTTGAGTGGCCCAGTGAATTTTTGTTCACCAAATATTTATTCTTTTTTCATCTTCCTGAGGATTGCATTCCTTCCCTTTGAAGTTCCAGAGCCTACCCCTTTCTCCTTAGTTCAGAATGGCATGTTTGCCTCATTTTGCCTGATTGTCTTTGGAATTTCCATATCTGTGTGGGTTCCCTATACATAGAAAATGAAATTTGATTTTCTCCTCTTAATATGTCTCATGTTAATCTGATTCTTAGTCCAGCTGGAATGACCTTGAAGGTGATAGGAAATCCTTGCTCTCCAACAGTTCCTGCCCTCAAGTTGTTTAAAATCTAAGGAAAACTGAGGTGTTAAAAGTCAACTAAACTATAGCAAGTAATATGTAACAGGCAAAGGAAACACAAAGGAAAAGACAGTGAAGTTGCCAAGAGTGATGTCCAAAGTGAGTTTTAAAACCCAAGTGAATGGAAGGCAGTAGGGACAACAAGGAAAAGGCAAAACTTAGGGAAGAGCTTAGCTGTTTCAGAACACTGAAAGTAGTTGACTGTGGCATGTGTCTTGAATAGGAGGGGAACAATGAGAGATGCAGTTGAAGACTTTGGTAGGGGTCATGCCAAGGTGGTTCTTGTTTAGCTGACATTTAGCTATGCCCCATTTAATAATTAGGTTGCATATACACAGAAAACATTGTATAAAATTTAAACTGCATCAGAATATATTCTTCATATGACTTAATAGAAAATCTCAATCGATTTTCCATAAAAGCCCTTTTTTAATATTTTTATAATATGGTATATCATATATTAATTTCCTATGGCTACTGTAACAAAGTATCACAAATTTAGTGGCTTAAGACAACACAAATGTATTATTTTACAGTTCTGAAAGTCAAAGTATGAAATTGTGTCTTGCTAGGCTAAAGTCAGGGTGTTGACAGGGCTCTTCCTCTTTTGAGAGACTCTAGAAAAAAATTAAAAATTTTTTTTTTTTTGCCTTTTCCAGCTATTGGAGCCTACCAACATTCTTTTATTCATGGCCCATTCCTGAATCTACAAAGCCAGCAATACTGGTAAGTTCATCTCATACTACCATCTCTCTGGTTCTCTCTCTTCTCTCTTCTGCCTCCTTCTGCTGATTATAAGAATGCTTGTGATTTTTTTGAGCCCACCCAGACTGTCCAAGATAATCTCCCCATCTTCTAGTCAGCTGAAACTGCAACCTTACTTTTTGCATTTAACCTGACCTATTCATAGTTTCCGGGGATTAAAACATGGACATCTTTGGGAGGTTATTATTCTGCCTACTATAGAGGCTGACAGAAAATGTCTTAAAAATAAGACAATATGCAGTGGGGAATACCAGTTAATGAACTGACAAACATTCAGTAAATATTTGTTATGTGCAAACAATTTTATTAAATATTCTACAATATAAAAATGTACTATGCCTTGAAGAGCTAAAGGAAACAAAAGATACAAATATAAAAGAAACTGTAACACAGCAAAGAAAAATAGTGTAGTAAAATTTGAGTAAGTATGGGAAACAATTAATTTAACTTTTATTACTTCAAAAATTAAGATAAATTCTACCCAAAAATGGTATTTTAAAGGAGATGTGTTGGGCACCTGGGTGGCTCAGTCATTAGGTGTCTGCCTTCGGCTCAGGTCATGATCCCGGGGTCCTGGGATCGAGCCCCGCATCGGGCTCCCTGCTCAGCGGGAAGCCTGCTTCTCCCTCTCCCACTCCCCCTGCTTGTGTTCCCTCTCTCACTGTGTCTCTCTGTCAAATAAATAAAATCTTTAAAGAAAAAAAGAAGATGTGTTGGTGTTTTGAGGGAATAATAGATATGGAATAAACAACAACAAAAATTTCAGGTTGAGGGAGACATGTATATGGTCAAGTAACCCATTACTCTGGAAGAAAAGTGTCATTCTGGGGACATTTGATATGTATAGTCATATTAATCATTGTATTTTAGAATATCCAATTTTGAGTGCAGAAGACTTAAATTCAAATTAGGGTATTATGAATTGCCCTGTTGCCTTGGCAAAGTCATTCTCTCTCTCTCCCAGGAAAGTAATGCATGCTACCTATCCCTTAAGATTGATGTCATGACCACAATATGAATCTGCTTTGTAAACTTTACAGTATTATGTATGTTGATTTGTGCTGTTAAAATTACAATAATTATGGTAAGCCTTAATTGCTAGATTGAAGAATTAAGACTGTAATTTATGGAGAACAAAGATGTACTTTTGATTCCCAAACTGGGAGTAGTATGAAGTATTATAAACATGTATTATAGAACTAAAAAGAATAAATCAAGGACTGCAGTGTGAAGGCCACAATAGAAGTAGAAGAAAAAGATGGGAATCCAGATTTGGATTAAGAATCAAGAACTTCACAGACAGATTTGCAGCTAATGCATTACAGTGAAAGGCATCCATAGGAATTGGTGACTGATTTGGAAGGGAATGGAAAGAAGAGCAAAACCATAACACTAAGGTGGTGTTTAAAAACAAACAAAATATGCAGATGAGCTTTTTGGTTGTTATTTGGTTTGGTTTGGTATGGATGAGAAAATGTTAAAGATATTCCACTGCAAACCAGGTCAGAATGAGATTGTAATTGGAAATACAGATTTTGGCTTCCTCACACATATAAGACCATGTTGCTTGGAGAACAGAGAAAGAGGATGGATAGATCGATGAAATAGCTCATAACTTTCTTCTGTCAATCTCACTCAAATTGTAGTTACTGCCTGGAGTACGGGGCTCTGTCCTGTCTTAGCCGTGTTATAATCTGATATTCATGTCTGCCATTGAAATGCCAGTATATATACCTAGAGATAGTACATACCACCTTTGATATAAATAAGTTTCAGCGACTCACTGTATATGTGCCTGTGTTCTTTATAGCAATTATTATAGACACCAATTATGTGCCTCTTTATCAATCTAAATTTTGATTACAAGTTCCTTAAGGGCAAGGATGTGTCTTTTTGTCTGGTATGACCATTGCTTTGGGTAGTGCCTGTCACAAAGCACAAGCTCACCAAATGTATGATTAATTACAGTGCTTTTCAGAAATTGTCTTATATATTATTTTGCAAGTAACTCTCTCCTCCATAAATGGACAGAAGTCATCTCTAATCCATTTGGACATCACCAGTTTTTCATTGCACAATGCTTTGCCAATCCTTGGTTCTCCATAACTGTTTTCTCAACTGAATTGAGGGCACATAACATTAAAAAAAAAAAGAAGCCACAGAGTATATAGGCACACTCTCAATATTACACCCAAATTACAAAATAGGCTTAAAATTCCTTAACAGTGACCTATTTCAGAAGTCAAGTCTTAAAAAACCATACACCACCATACAGCATCATTAAAGTGATATAATTAAGTCTAGACCTCATTTCCACCTAGCGATTGTCCTAACATCTCGGTTGCTATGGTTGGTGGTGTTAACTCTAAAGAAGGAAGGGAAGGGAGAGAGAGAAGTGAGAGGAAGGGAGAGAGGAAGGAAGAAAATTCTTTTGGAACTCACTATTTTCATTTCCCACTTTCTACCCAAGCTGAAAAGCTTTTACAATTCCCAAAACATAACAAAATTTCTTTTTTTAAATTGTATTTTTACAATTGTCTATCATAAATTGTTATGGACACTGAATTCACAATACATATTTTGCGCCTCCTGGGGCTTTAAATCAAACTGCAATATGGCCTGAAAATTAGGCAGATAGTATGTTGGATAAACTGATAGACAAATCTTTCTTTGCTTCTAAAAAGATAGCCAAAGACTATCGGTAGGAGAATTTTGCAAGAGATTCTTTCAGTTTCTATATGATAAAACATTTTCTTTCTACTTATCAGTGAGAAGCACCTAAGGAAAAATACAGAATGCCTGCCAGAGTCAACGAGCCTCTATCCCCAAGGAAATAAGAGAGAAGCAAATGATTGCTTGAATAAATTTTTAGAAACACTAGTCTTTTCATTTCATTTCATGGGAAATAAATGGAAAATAGCATTTCTGAGATACAATACTGAATAACGAACTCCAGTGGCTATGCCAAACCCCCGGTAAATTGCACAGCTGGCAGGGAGATGCAAAATAAGGGGCAATGAGAGTGGGGAGAAAATCACCACCTTTAGCACCAACAGTTACTGAAATAGGACATTGACTGAAATCAGGTCTGTCACTGGTTCACAAATCCCATTATGAAATAAACTTTCTAAATGTTCCTTCACCCAGGCCAGTTTTACAAGCAACATCATGGTTTGTTCTCAAGTCACAAAGTTTCAGTATCTTTCCAGTCTAGCTCCTAGGTATGCCAGGACTCAGAAAGATTAAAAACACCTATTGCCAGTTCAATGACTGACGTAATAATAAGCTGCTCCTCTCTGGCCTGTCTGCCTTTTAGTGATGGTGAAGTTTCAGTCCTGTTGAAGAATGTCTTGAAGAAAAGGCTACTCCTCTCAGTTCATAACTTCCTTGGCTCCTTTCAGTTTTCTAAAATAAAAGCCAAAGGACATAGAGAATATAATAGAAAGTATCTTGCTTGGATGTCCATTTACATTAGTAGATCTCTAAGATCAATTTTCTCCTGGCCACTTGTGATCTGAGATGGTTTAAAAGGAATTATTTTTTTTCTAAGTTGATTCTGATTCTCTTAGTATCTTCAGAAAACTGCTGTCTAGGCATTAAATACTGGCAATTATTAAGGTCAGCAATAGAAGGAATTTTTGAGGTCACTGTCCATTTGTCTATAATTTCTTTTACTTTTAGAATTGATTTAGTTTACAATATAGAAGCATATAAATTGACATTGTATTGTCAGTGGATTAACCTTCAAAGTTCTCACATTTCTACCATTCCATTTTTATATATAAACACTTCATTATCTTATTGAGGTTCTTATGAGGTTCAAGATTAAATAGTTTTACATACAAAAGGGCAACCAAATATAAATCCATTAAGCCTATAAGTATGTTTTATCTTGAAAATATATTGCAAATGTAGCTTGTAAAATTATCTACCTAGCCTTTTTTTTTTTTTTTTCCTAAAAGGTTTACTGCTCTGATATCCTTTACATAGCATTTCCATTAGGCAACTTCCTTGGGAAAAAGTATCACTTAGTAGTATAGCAGAAGTTATATATACCCCTTGGTACCACAAAAACTTAGACTCCACCGCCCAATTTTTAGGATCCCTAATTAAAGTGTGCACAGCACTTTAAAACCTCTAGACTGTTGCTACTCAGAGTGTGGTCTACGTACCAACAGCAGAGGCTCCACAGGGAAACTTAGAAGTACAGAATATTTGGTCCAACCCCAAGCTATTGACGCACTTCCATTTTAATAAGATTTCCCAGATAAGTTTTATTTAATAGATTAAGGTTTGAGAAGCACTGCTTTAGGCATTTTATGTTGCATCATGTTCCACCAGAGTAAGGCAGATACACTTCTGCTCTCGTCCCTTTAAAAGAAGATTTTGGAAAGACAAAATATGGGTCTGTAAGTAGGAGGGCTCACTGATCTCACTGATGGCATATCATAATGCTTGAAATCCATAGCTTCCTTTAGCCTAGATTATCACCCTGTGGCAACTGTTTACCAGTATCCTCAATTCACCAGACTCTAACAGTAGCAATTTTTCCAAAGGCACCATTATCATTTCTTTTTTCTTTCTTTCTTTCTTTTCCCTGTTTAGATCTTCTTTTGGCCACTATTCCAGCTAAACCTTCTTTTTGGTAGTAACCGTTAAGTACCATAACTCCGATACAACCTGTGTAACATCAACCAGTGACAGTTTTTTTCTCTGTCTTCTTTTTGTGCCTTCCATTCTGGCTGGTGGGAACAAATACTATTCTAGGCTCTAAGTGAGTTCCAGAAATTGATATCTCTAATCCTTTCAGAGGGTTCTTGTAGCCATCAGGCAGTGTGTTCACAGACTTGCGCTTCTCAATATTCAGTTGAATATAGGACCCACTCTGGATCTCAGAGTTCTCTTTCTGTGCAGCTTTCTTTCTTCTGTACTCTGCCTTATGAACTCTCATGGCCTTGGTC